GGGGGGGGGGGGGAAGGAAATTCAGCCCTGGTGTGCTGCCTGAGTCCCAACCCCTATGTAAAGAGAAGGGCCTGCGTGTAGCCTCCTGGGGTCCAGCCCCTGCGGGCCAGGGGTTCCCAAAGGTGTGGACGGAGTCGGCAAAGAATGATTTACATGGAGACAGCGATCATAGCTCGTTAGTCTTCGTGGATCTTCCTGTGCCTGGCTGAGGCCACAGAGAAAGATCCCGAGGCAAGCTGAGCCTTTATTTTATAGTCAGAGGTAAACACGGTAGTGGTTACCAAAGTTACACTGTTCTTGTGAGTTTCACTTGTTTTTGTTTTTGTTCTTCTTGCACTTCCCTCAGCCCATTAGCTTCCCAGGTAAGATCTAGGAAGCTTCATAAGGTCAAGCCTAATTATGCTTAAGAGGACTGTGCCCTCTAAGCTGGGACTTGTCTGTGACTTTGCCAACAGGTCAGTCCGAGGCTTACCCCTATATGGGCTCCCCACAGTAGCCCGCCTCTGGGGCCCTGTTCCCTGGTGATGTATCACTCCAGCAAGGTCGCCGGAAGCAGAGCTGATGTTATTTTGCTTAATGCCTCACACTGATTGAATGCTTACTGAGTGTCAGGGTCTGGCTAGGTGCTTTACATACAAGATCATTTGAGCCCCGAAAACAACCCTGTGAGGAAAAAGGTGATCCTGTTGTTGATCCCACTTTACAGGTCAAGAGTGTTAGAGAATTTAAGTAGCATTGCTCTTGGCTATTCAGTTATTGAGTGGCAGAGGCAGGTTTCAGGTGTAGGCAGTTAAGCGCTAAGGTAAAGCTCTTCACCCCTTCACTAAACGTTCTAGCTGCAGAGTTCAGTAAGGAGGCCGTTAACTGCTTCCCTTTCACGGCCCCGCCTTTCTCCGTGCACCTGTTCATTCATGTGAATTCAGAGGCTCAGTGAGCATTCTTGGCCATCTGTTCTGTACACGTGGTGCCATGGAGAAAAACACCACGTTTCTGCTTTTGAGTTCAGGTGGAGAAGGGGAGATAGAATACATGTGGTAAAATAATTTTAAGGCAGCGTGTTAGTCCTAAGATAGTCAAAGTGAAAGGACCAATTCTATATGGAACAGAGTTGCTCCTACTTTTCCTTGAGTGACTCACCAACAGGACTATGAAATGGTTTTTATTTATGTGGTTTTAGAACATAGGCTACTAGCCCTATCATTTATCTGATGGAAAAATGCGTTTATAGTTATAAGACTTGTCTCACAAGTCAATAAATTTTGTTTACTGTGGCTGCAGGTAGCACTGGCAGACAATCTAGGGATTTCTATGGAATTTAGTTTTCGTCTTCTCTCTTCAGCCTTCTCCAGAGTTCTGATCCAGAAGTTGCAAGCAAAGTCAAAGCTGGACTGAAAAGCCTGATCCCCACATTGCAGAAAAACAGAAGCACCAGCAAAGGAGTAGAAATGCTGCTTGAAAAACTGTCTGTGTAGATGGACACAATTACCAGATGGAACCATCGTTTCTCGTCAGATCTGTTTTCCCAGAGTGGAGAGAGGGCTAGGGGCCCACCACACGGGTAACTTGTGTACTCGGTGTATGTGCTTCTTTGTACATGAATTTATTTGTAAAATGCTTTCTAAAAATGCCTTTTAAAAGACTCCAGCCATCTTCTTTATCGTCTTGAGTAGTAAGTAAATCGCAGTGTGAGGAGTGATGTAAAGGGTTTAATGGTCAGATGCAGTGGGACCGACCAAATACATATAAAGTGGCTGCATGAGTTGCTTCAGGGGAAGATATCCTTTGTGAGCAGCAGTCTGAGAAGGCTCCATGGAGGGGGTGGGCATTGAGAGGGCCTCAGAAGAGAGCAGGATGTAGAAAAGAAGAGCCAAAGGGAGTTTTGAGGGCAGTGAGGTGGGACTTAATGGTTGTGAACTGAACTTCAGGAACTGTTCACCTTAGAGCCTGGATGGATGCAGGGAGGGGAGGGTAACCTGCATCCAGGGCAGCCACATTCCTAGCTGCCTTAGGGATTGGGTTCCACCGTAGATTTTGTTTGAAAGCTACTCGAGGAAATTAGGGCTAATAGGGAGAATGTGCTAGTCAGTGGTCGGCAAACTCATTAGTCAACAGAGCCAAATATCAGCAGTACGACGATTGAAATTTCTTTTGAGAGCCAAATTTTTTAAACTTAAACTATATAGGTAGGTACATTGTTATTAACTTAATTAGGGTACTCCTAAGGCTTAGGAAGAGCCACACTCGAGGGGCCAAAGAGCCGCATGTGGCTCGCGAGCTGCAGTTTGCCGACCACGGTGCTAGGTGAGTTAGGGGATCATGATGGGTAGGGTTGGTAAGGTCAAGGTCACTGGGGAAATCTGCCTATCTTTGGATCTGGACTTTCCCTATAAATAATTTCCTTTGATGAAATTTTCTTCTTTGGGACTATCCCTAAAGTAGTGGAAACCTATAGGGTTTGAGTTAGGAAGTAGATGCTAATTTGTTAACAGTGCAGAAGTTTGAATTACATTCAGTTAGGATGTTTAAGTTATGTAACTGCGCTTGGCTTTTAGCAACAGAGCTTGGAAGGTTTGGTAGACCATTCATGCTCAAGTGGCCTGCTGTAACATGAGGCCCACTGGGGTCTGTTACTGTAACTACACTTGCTGGAGAATTGCTGGGCCTTTCCTGACCAGAGGGTCCCAGGACTTCACCTGCCACCTTCTCCTGCCTGGAACTTTGAACTCCACCCAACACAAAAGAGCTGACCCATTCATACTTCTCCTTGGCATGAATCCCCTTTACCCCCACTACCCAGACCCCCACTACCCAGACCCCACCAGTGTAAGGGTGGAGGTGGGATAGCTGGGGGAATGGGATGGGGGGAAAGGCAACATCAGAACTTGCTTTTGTTTGAGTAATACATTGTGAGTTTGTGTTTTCCATATAAAGGGCCCATTCAGAAAGTGGGGGGAACCTCACTATTTCTATCTATGAGACTAAAAAAATAAAGTGACATACAGAATTTTAAAAGTTAGAGTACTATAAAGTGTATAATAAAAGCTGCAATCCTGCCTGGCCCTCCCCAGAAGCAACTACTTCCAACTCATTTAGCTTTGCTAAATTTTTAAATATATAGTTTTTGATGGGATTTTTTTTTGAAGATGGTAGGATTTGTGTAGCAGTTAAGGCACTTTCTTTTGACCTCCTGATATGGACACTATAGATTAAGACTTAACTACCACTCCTGCCCCACTTTTTTTCTCTCCATGTTCCCAGTATAATTGCATCATTTTTGATAAATCAGTTATACTGACATAAATTGTGAAATATTCAAATAACTAGTAAACTGTCATTTTCTAAACCGTTTTATTTACCCTGGAATTAATAACTGTCTCACTTATTTTCATTTGCTTACTTTCCTACGTTCCTCTTATTTACCAAACTTTTATTTAAGTATATATTTTATTGATTTTTTACAGAGATGAAGGGAGAGAGAGTTAGAAACATTGATGAGAGAGAAACATCGATCAGCTGCCTCTTGCACACCCCCCACTGGGGATGTGCCCACAACCAAGGTACATGCCCTTGACTGGAATCGAACCCTGGACCCTTGAGTCCGCAGGCTGACACTCTATCCACTTAGCTAAACTGGTCAGGGCTATTTACCAAACTTTTAATGAGAATCGCTTAAACCCTTCTCCAGCAGGTACCATTTTCCTTTTTTTTTTTTTTTTTTTTTTTTATTCAGCCCACTAGCCTCCCATGTTATTCTGATGTTCACAGTCTTTACCCTGTGGCTCTGATATCCTGACTGGTCTAATTCAACATTTCACACCCAGTGTGATGAGTGGGTGCAGATGTGCTGAGATTTTCACAGCTTCATTTATTATTCCACCGGGCTATACAGATATTTCCCTTGTGTGTCTAGTGCAATAGAGCACTGCTATGAACTAACCCTGGGCACATCCCTTCAGTCAGTGGTGGATTGGAAGGAGCCTGGCCAAGGGCCAAGGAGCCCTAGAAGAGAAGCGGTGTTTCTGGGGAAGGTTTCCTAATAGACCCACAAGGAAGAGAGTCCCTTTGCCGTGGCTGGCTTTGGTGTGTACAGATCAGAGGCTTAGAGTGTGGCATGCAACATTTTGCAGCTGAGAAGGTTAAAAGCATGCAGAGGATAGGTGAGCAGCAACAGGTAGGAAGAATCTGGAACAATGGTGATGTTGAACTGCTGAACAAATCAGCTACTGAAGTTGCCTCCTCCTGTACCTCTGGTTATGTGAGAGAATAAACTCCCGTTTATCATTTAGGCCATTCTGAATCGGATCTTTAGAAACTTGCAGCCAAACATGTGCTAAACTGACTGTCTTTGAATACTAATTTCCACACTATTCAACACAACTCAACTAGCGTTGCTACTCTTCATACGCCCTTCCTGGAGCCAGCTGGCTTTCTGGGTGTCCTGAAGGATAGTTGCACAACCAGCACCATCATCTGTGCCTTCCCTCATTTCTGCTATGGAAAGCCCATTCCAGGATCCCATGCATTTCTTTTCCTTGCTGAACACCTTGGCTTGTTGCTATTGTTGTTTAATGGATCAGTTGATTGATTAATTAGGTTAAAACTTCTTGAATCTTTAGTAGCTTCCTGAGAAAGAATGCATATGGGGCAAAATGTTAAAGACTTTGCATGTCAGAATGTCTTTATTCTGCTCTTTCATATTTGATCACTTAATTTAGCTGGATATAGGATTCTAGTTTGAAATTAATTTTGCCTTGGAACTTTGATGGCACTGGTCAATATTTTCTTTGACTTGCAGAATTGCTATGAAAGTCCAGTGCCACCCTAATCCTCAGTCTTTTGTATGTGGCCTTTGGGATGGGGGTAGGAGGGGGAGTTCTGAAAAGTCACAGGACTTTTTAAAATCCCCAGCTGCCTATATGTCAGGGTCATGTGAACTGGTATGTGTTGTGTATGTCTGTTTATCATTCTTCATGCTGACACTTACTGAACTATTTTAGTTAGAAAAACAGAGCCTTTTATTTCATTCTGGGAGCTGCATTTGTATTGTTCGCTGATCCCCCACCCTTGTTTTCTCTCTTCTTTCTGTTTGGCACTCTCCTTGTTGAGATTTTGAATGCTGGTTTGATCCTCTGGTTTTCCTTTTCAGTTCTTTGGCTTTTTGTTTTGCTTTTCCGGGTGAGATCTTTCCTCCACACACTCTGCCAGTCCTTTCTTTATAATACTCTTTTGTTGTTTTGTTGTTTCTTGGATAAAAAGTCTCTGTGTCTCTGGGGATGTTGTATTTTGTGTTTATTTGTTTTGTTTTGAGTTGCTTTATCTCTTCTGCTATCTGCTTTTTTGGTTTATTTTGGTCTTTTATGTTCAAGGCTTTCTTGGAGATCTTTGTCTTTCTTTATATACTAAAAACTGATCAGAAAGGGGGCAGGCTCCACCTTTCTATTGACTGTTCATGCCCAGGTGACTGGGTGTGGATTCCGCTGTTTCACTGGCGTCCTTCAGATGTCAGGATCTCTAAGCCTTTTGTCCTGGGCCATTCATTGCCTCTAGAGAGAAATCTGCCTGACAGCCAGTATTCTGTTTGCTCAATACTTGGTGCAGATTTTAATTAACCCACCTGTTCTCAGTTCAGTGCCTCTCTTTCATGCTCTCTTTAATCTAAAGTCCCCTGGTCTGGAGAAACTAAACCAACATGAATCCATAAAATAAACTGTCAGCCTTCTGCCAAGGTGTGGCATGGTGGTCACCGGTTTTAGCCACTACCCCTGTTTTCCATTCCAGGCTTCCCCTGAGTTTTCCCCAGTGTCTGGCGTCTCTCATTGCCGGGACTTGCTGTGTATTCCCGTGAGAATGAACCATCTCTTCTGCGCGCACTTGGTCCTCAGCTTTCTCAGCCCTGCTACCTTCTGCACAGCTTCCTTCGTTGCTATTGCTCTCCATCTGATGGTCTCTCCGGCTTACTTTCTTCCTGTGAGTTTATACATTCTAAGCAGAAATCTACAAATAGTCTCAACCAAACTCAAAGCAACGCACCTGGAGGGTTTATTTTCCATATAAGATCTTGCTGGGTTTGAAATGTCTTTAATTTTTAAATTGAGCTTTTTGTAGTTTCCAGGTTTCCCCAGGGATCAGACACTGCCTGGAAGGAAGAACCTTGTTTTCCCTTTAATCGGGGTGATGTGTGTTTGCGGAACAGAAATAAGGGCCTCTTGAAGGAAATGGCTTACTACGTGCCAAACTCAAAGTTCTTTAACATATGAGATGGCACTTCTGTTTTTGTTTTCAATGAAAATTTGAAAAGGTCACATCTTAATTATAGCATATTAATCACTCTATAGAGACATGTATATTTCAGTGGTTCTCAGCCTTCTGGCCCTTTAAGTACAGTTCCTCATGTTGTGAGCCAACCATAAAATTATTTTCATTGCTACTTCATGACTGTAATGTTACTGTTGTGAATTGTAATGTAAATATCTGATAAGCAGGATGGTCTTAGGCAACCCCTGTGAAAGGGTCATTTGACCACCAAAGGGGTCGTGACGGACAGGTTGAGAACCGCTGCTTTAGAATAATGGTTAGAGCACAAAACCTTAAAAAGAGCAGCAGTTAATACTGAGTCACTAATCATAAACTATTTCTA